CTGAGGTTTCAGACTGGTTTCGGACTGAGGTTTAAGGCTGAAGTTTCAGGCTGAGGTTTCAGACTGGTTTCAGACTGAAGTTTCAGACTGGTTTCGGACTGAGGTTTCAGGCTGAAGTTTCAGGCTGAAGTTTCAGACTGGTTTCGGACTGAGGTTTTAGACTGAGGTTTCAGACTGAGGTTTCAGACTGAGGTTTCAGACTGGTTTCAGACCGAGGTTTTGGACTGATGTCGCCGGTGCAGCGCTCTGTTTCATTGATGAGTTTGACTGTACAATAAACTGCTCCATCAGTTTGACAGTGAGCTCATCACTTTGTTGAGGCGTTCTATCGTGATTGAATCGACTGAATTGAGTGAAATCAAAACACAATGAGGTGATTTGTCTCGTGCTTTGTTCAGACAGACAAACAAGTGAATGATTTCAGCCTCCTAACAACCTAAAGTATGACAAACAGCTTTGTGGTTTTCACAGGTCCATGTGGTTCTGAGGGTCAAAGACTCAGATTAGGTTCCAGTTATTCTGAGTCGAGTCAGGACTGTTTTTACTGCTGCAGGTGTCTGTGTCCACGTGTCTGGACCCTGATGGACCCGATCGTCACCGCTGTCGGCTCTGATCACATATTTTTATCACAGCAGGAGAATACAGTTTGTGTGTAGAAAACAGAGGGGGACAGTGAGGACAGAAATGGAGACAGTTTTTTGGTAACGTCAGTTTTTATTATAAATTTGTCCCTGAATATAAAAACTAAATATTTTATGAGCTTTACTCGACGCTATTTTTATCTCAGTGTTCGTCAACTGATCCAGTGAATGAGGCTGCTGGTGTCCTCTGTCTTCTCTGTCCGAGTCGAGGATGTTTTAGACCCTCAGGTCTGTTCGAGTCCTCCATCGAGTTGGGTTCAGCCCCGCCCCTTACTTGTGTGTCTGACTAACTCCGTCTCTTACCTGTCTGACTGACCCCTCTGAGCTAACCTGACTAACCCTGTCCTGACTAACCTGTCTGTCTTCTGTCTCTAACTGGTCTGTCTGTCTGTGTGTGTGTGTGTGTGTGTGTGTGTGTGTGTGTGTCTGTGTGTGTGTGTGTGTCTGTGTGTCTGTCTGTGTCTGTCTGTCTGTCTGTCTGTCTGTGGTTCTGTGTGCAGATGGATGAGATAAAGCTGAAGGACAGAGCTGTCAGTGTTTTGGATAAAGCCCTGGGGCTGCAGGCTGGACACGCCCACCGCCTCCAGCTGCAGACTCAGGCTGCCGAGCAGCAAATCGCAGCCCTGAGAGACGCACAGAGGGTGGGACTTAACCACCTAGGCCAAGCCCTTAACCCCGCCCCTAACACTTCTCCTCACATTGTAAGCTCCGCCTCTGCTCGTACTGCATGAAATAACTTCACTTCATGTCACAGTTTAACCACAACATGTTAACTGGTCATCATCATGGTGAACATCAGGTTCCGCCTCCTTCCGAACATGGATATAAAAACATAAACGCCTCATTGGCTGCTGGGTCACACGTCGGTTGTGCCGCCATGTGGGAGAGGGCAAGTCTTCCTGTAAAGAAATGACAGTAAACAGGAGCTGCAGTTTTGCTGGATAAAAAGTTTCTCAGCTCAGTGAGTCGGTTTTATATTTCAGGGTTTATGATTTAAGTTTTATTCAGTTTGTAGTTTCTGCTGGACACTGAGTGGAGGAGTGTCAGACTGACGTCAGCTGAACTACCTTGCATGGTTAATAACTCCATCACTTTAGAACGGACACCAGAAGAACACGTGTTCTTTGTTTAGATTGAATAATGTGTGTGTTTAATTGTTTGCAACAAATAATGGCTTGCAACATTAGCATGCTAGCTATGTTAGCTTTGGCTGATTGCTAACATGTAGGAACAAACTTCTATGATCCATCGTCTGTTTGAGAATGTGTTCTTCTGGTGTCCATTCTAAAATGATGGAGTTAATGAGCAGACGTCATTAGTTAGCTAGATTAAAAGTCGTCTACTTCCAGACGTCTTCACAAACATTAACCAGGACAATAAAAACAATAACATTATTCCTCACAATGATGAATTATTATTCACCATGTAAGATAGTTCAGCTGATGTCAGTCTGACACTCAGCGTCCAGCAGAAACTACAGACTGAATAAAACTTTAAATCTGTTGCAGATCATAAACCCTGAAATATAAAACCGACTCACTGAGCTGAGAAATAAAAACAATATAGAATTTTATATCCAGAAAAAACTGCAGCTCCAGTTTACTGCCATTTCTTTACAGGAAGTCTTGCCCTCTCCAACATGGTAGCCTTGCTGACGTGCCACTGTAATGGGCTGACAGTCAATATGGCGTCTTAGTTTGTATGTCTATGCTTCAGAGTCATCATGACATCATCGAACGCATGATCACTGCTCAGTCTCAGTAAGGACTCAGGTGGATCCTCCAGTCCTCAGTATCCCACAGTCCACTGCTCCCTTTTCACTGGACCAATGACAATCCTCCATCTTTAATTTGAGATTTAATAAACGGACAGCGACAGGTGCAGTGAACGGATTCTGTCTGATGATGTCACAAACTGTGACTGAAATCACAAACTGTGACATCACCTTGCCTGCAGTGACCAGGATGTTTTCATGCAGAGAGCTGACATGATGACGTCGCTCTGTCGAGAGCTGATGTGCATCAGTGCTGGTGAATCCTGACGTGTTTGGTTCAGACACCGCCGATGTGTGTGTGTGTCACTCTGTACGGTCCACCTCTCTGCTTCCTGTGTCTCTGATTGGACCATAACAAAGCGCTGCTGCTTCGTCTGTCTGAAGTTTAAATGTTTTAAACACTGAACTCTGTCGGATGATTAAAGTTCATACTCTGATACTTCAGCTGTTTGTTAATGAAGTACAAATACTACTGTTAAAACTACAACACATCCTGTCACAGGTAGAATCCATACTGCTGTCATTTATTCTACAGTCAGACACAGCTGTGTTATTGGCTGTGAGAGAAGAAGTGCATCCTGGGAGTCGTAGTTGTCTTCTGTCCTTCAGTCTTTATGTCCTCACAGATCTTCACATTTTTATGTCCATCAGCAACACAGAAATGAAGCAACACGGTTACTGCAGGAACCTGAACTGTGTGTGTGTGTGTGTGTGTGTGTCTGTGTGTGCAGTCTCAGGAGGACCGGGACACTCGGAGGTTTCAGTTAAAAATCGCAGAGCTCAGCGCTGTTGTCAGGAAGTTGGAGGATCGAAACGCTCTGCTGTCTGAGGAACGCAACGAACTGGTAACAAACACACATACACATTATACACACACACACACACACACACACACACACACACTGGACACACACGTTTCTATACATGTGAGGACCCCCACTGACATTATTCAGTTCCTAGACCCCAAACCAGAACTAGAACCTTAACCAACAGAGTCTGGACCTTCAAATGATCCATGTCCTCACAGTGTAGAAATGTCCTCAGGATGCAGACATGTCCTCACGATGTAGAAATGTCCAATGTAGAAATGTCCTCAGGGTGCAAACAAATCCTCACAATGCAGAAATGTCCTCAGGGTGCAGACAAGTCCTCACAATGCAGAAATGTCCTCAGGATGCAGAAATGTCCTCACAGTGTAGAAGTGTCCTCACAATGTAGAAATGTCCTCAGGATGCAGACATGTCCTCACAATGCAGAAATGTCCTCACAGTGTAGAAATGTTCTCACAATGCAGACATGTCCTCACAATGTAGAAATGTCTTCACAATGTAGAAATGTCCTCAGGGTGCAGACATGTCCTCACAATGCAGAAATGTTCTCAGGATGCAGACATGTCCTCACGATGCAGAAATGTTCTCAGGATGCAGACATGTCCTCACGATGCAGAAATGTCTTCACAATGTAGAAATGTCCTCAGGATGCAGACATGTCCTCACAATGCAGAAATGTCTTCACAATGTAGAAATGTCCTCACAATGCAGAAATGTCCTCAGGATGCAGACATGTCCTCACA